GTGTGGATTGATATGTCTAGTTCTATTGTCTATTGGGATCAAAAGGTTATATGTAGGGACTGCAACAATTTCGTGTATAATTTTGTAGAAGAAAACAAGTCTATATCGTAAACGCCTAATTTCAAGTGGGTACCAATTTAAGTATGTCATCATTTCAGTAACTGAGCTGGTGATATGGAAGCGGTTGCATGAGAAGCGCGCTGCTCTTCTCTGAACTTTTTCAATTTGTGAAATTTGCTGTTTTTGATGTGGATCCCAAATAGTTGAGCAGTACTCTAGTTTTGGTCGGACAAGAGCTTTAAATGTATGTGCTTTAACTTTAGGTGAGGCTATTTTTAGGTTTCTACGAATAAATCCAAGAGACTGATTTGCTTTTGATGTCATGTTATCGATATGTTTGTCCCATTTTAAATTTGATTGAAGAGTTAGGCCTAAATATTTTGTAGAGTCAACTTTTTCTAGAGAGTGATTGTGTAATTTATAAGTGAAGTCTAAAGGTTTGCGTTTTTGAGTTACACTGAGAATGTTGCACTTATCAGGGTGAAAATGCATGAGCCAGTCCTGCTCCCATCTGCCGGCTGCTTCCAAGTCAGACTGTAATTTATATGTGTCATCTGGTTTTTTAATTTCCCTATAAATAATACTGTCATCTGCGAACAATCTTAATGTAAGATTAATGAATTAGAGTCTCATATTTTAGAAAATGCTCATTTTATGTCATTGCGTTCTTAAAAGTTTAACGACGATGTTCGACGTAATTGTGTGCATCGTAAATACAGATATACATGATCGAGTACATTTTTAAGATTATTCATTTTTGTTGAAGGCCTTACGGTGACCTATAATTGCTTAAATCAAGGTTATTTAGACTCTTTTAGATAGTTGTCTCATTGTTGGTCAAACCACATCTCCTTATTCTATTTACCCAGATTTTGTCTTCTATATTTTTTTAATAGGCAGTTTTTTTCCGTTATATGTTATATGGTTAGTAATTTTAACATATATTATATTTTAGGATAAATGTCTATTACTTCAACCTTATTTAGTTATCACAACAATATCATTACAACAAAGTGATGAAAGTCAATATCTATTTCCCATGAACCTGTGTCCACTCCCCTTTTTATCCTCGCATTTGAAATTAAAATAGTAACACCAAAAGAGAGGCGAAAGATACCACGGTGGAAAATATACTGACAACGCCATGGCAAAACAAGAAAAAAAGACCAAAAAAAGACAAATTAACAGCACACAAAACACAACATAGATTACTTAATTTTGTAATCGATTATTTTTTTATTAAAGAGAGTAAAAGATGTATTATAATACCGATTCTGTGCGCTAGACGTTTTTCTCCTCAATGAATTTATATCTGGTACCTGTGGTACGCTCAATGCCAAATGTTATTTAATCAGAGCAGCTATACAGTCTAGGTAAGCTTTACCTACTAGGAAAATACAATCTTAATTTAAGTGATATATGTTACATAATTAATGAACTTGAAATTTATCAAGCTAATAATTTTGAAGAGAAAACATAAATAATAGGAGAGGAGGGGTAAGCGTCAAAGAGACAGCATCCAATGGCGGATCCAAGGGAAGTGGGGGGGGGGGGGGGGGGGGGGTCCGGGGGTTGGAACACCCGTTTTTTTTGACGATCAATGCTTTTGAATGGAGACAACATGTTGGAACCACCACCATATTCAAATTTCTTGTTTCCTAACATGTTGGTCCTGTAAGTAAGAACGTTTGTATGAGGGTCTGGTGGGGTTTACAAAATAGAGAATAATGGGCAAAAAATGCAGAATAAAGGGCAAAATATAGAAAGAATAAAGAAAAATAAGACAAAAAATAAAGAATACAGAAAAATGACCTAAACATAAAAGAATACAGAAATGAAGGAAACCCCATCCAGATCCTCTTGTATAGTAGGGGTGCAAATATAAACAATTTGTATAAATAACGAAATACCTGATCTTGACACCAGTTGTACATTCCTAGCACAGACAATCCTGTCAGAGCTCCAGTCCAGGGGATATCACCCTTTATCGGATCACGGAACATATGCATAGCATCCTTTCTTGGAAGTCCACAGGAATAGTAGGTATAATTATACAGGTTGTAGTTCGCTGCACTTTCCATATATTTCGTCTCTACTCCCATCCAACCTCCGACTTTTAAGAAAACCTTGAAATAGTGGAATAAACATACATTTTGGGTTTGACGACACCGTTGGTTGTTTTTACTGGGATGATCTTCAAATTCACCGTACATTTCCCGTTCAAGTTTGACATTTAGGCGGCTACTTATGGCATTTTTGTTCATGCCCTATATTGTTTTGATTGTTGTGTGATTTACACTGATATCAGTTTAATAATTTATTCATATATGACGTTTGTCAAACTCTTTGAGTACACACCTGTGGTAAAATATGAATATATAGATATGTCAGCTGATCGTCAACGTCATGGATTCTCTGGGCTGTTCCAATGATACTCCCGTGTCGTTTGCTTTTTATGAATGTTTTAACCGAGGTTAGACTGTGTAAATGGCGACATTGAACGATGACGTAAGAATATAAGCATTCTTCGGGAAAATGCACGAACGTGATTCATCTGGAAGTCGCCAAAACATGAATCTGGAAGTCGCCAAAACATGAAAACATAAACAAACGGTAATAAGAATTTGTTGAAAGCCAATTTTCTAAAATAAAAGTAAGATAATCAATTAGCTTCATCCAAATCTGTCTTAATATGTTATTGTAAATCGTTTAAGCATGTCACCAATTCAGATTTCTTCGTCTTTTACGTAAATATTTAGTATGTTCAATTACTGGAACAGCAAACATTTTCCCTTCACCTGGAGCGCTTCGATCCAAAAGAATTGCTGTTTTGTCCTATTAGAATAGAAATAATTCATGGGGGTTTGCATTTATATTGATTTTACCACAGGTTGGCCCTTAATGCTGATATTTTACGCCTTGCTAGTGCTCGTGGTAAAATATTTAGCATAAAGGACAACCCGTGGTAATATCACGATAAATTCAAGCCCCGATGAATTATTTCTTAAAAAAATGTATACCAGTGAAAACGTAGAACAGCTCATATAAAATATCTTTTATTATAAACAATTTTAAAATTTTAATTTTTGATTTGTCCTTAAATTATGTAAAATATAGTTGTAGCATATAAATGAAATTATAAGAACTGAATGCTTCTTTTTGTAATTTTATAGGGTTATTAAAGCGTTGATCGTGTGTACATTTTTAGTATCTTCATCTTTATAGTAAATATACAGTCTTTAATAAGAGACCAATGCCCCATCTGCCATCAACAACAATATCACACTATACCATAGTCAGATATGACACAAAGCAATCATTCAAGTTAGAGGTTTCTGACTTTGGACAAGATATGGGTCGGGGCAAACTTGTTTTATTATGTCTCAATTCTCAGCCTTTATACCTCATTCAGCTCACTAATACAATACAAGAATATTCAATAAAATCAGCACAATACAATAAATGTAGTACAAAATAATGTTTTACTATCGTAGATAGTCAAAATATAAGTTAAAACACAAATATGATAAATAATTTATACCTTATGAAAGAATGCACGCAGTTAATGACAGCAAGCTTAATAAATGATACATCTGAGAGAAAGTGATGATTTTTCTGCCCTATAAAATTGGTTGCTGTATTTCAAAGGAGATTTCATACGCGAACGCCATCACCAGTACTGATGATAGATCTACCAATATTTCCCGAAAAAGAAGTTTTTCCGCAATTTTTTTTCCAGAAAAACGAAACTTTTCCCAAAATTTCAGTCTATTCATAGGTCCTGGGAACATACACTGGAGATTTCCAATAAAATAACATACGTACGTAACTCGACGTACGGACCTAATGGGACTGGTTATTGCCAACCATTGAATTTGATTAAATACGTCGCTCAAGTTTAAACATAGTATTCCAAGACTTTTAAAGTCACACACTGGAATTTTCGTCCATATAAAATAATTTTATCATGACGAAAAATGATAGAAATCTTGCATTTTTATTTATCACTTGGTTTTCCAGATTCCCGCCTTTATTTTCTCTTACATAAGTTCACGTATAAACACACGTATCCTATAACTATCATACGTACGATTTGAGTTATCTTTCATGGTTTTGATTATGACAATTAGTTTTCAATATATTTTGCAGATGAACGCCCCATTATACTTTTCTGTCTTTCCTGAAGCTAGCGAACAATAACTAGCGAACAATAAGCCAGCGAACAATAAGGCGATATATCTAAAAACCGAAAAAATGAATAAGACAGCAACGGCCGTCAAATGAAAAATATTTAAAAAGGCAGACATTCCGTCCAAATATTGCAATTTCAACTCTATCGTGAAATGGTATTTATCACATCCATTGATAAAACAAGTCACATCTCTTTTTAGGCTAACATTCAGTACCACAGTAAATCTGCATCTGTCAAGGGATTATTTGTAGGTGTAAGACCACTAATGCACCCACTTCAATTTAGAACGTATGTAAAAGTAGTCCTTCCCTGTAAAATACAGCACCTTTGATGTCATTGTTTAATTGAACTAAGATACACATTTGCAGAAATGGGGGTTGGCCTATTCCATAGCTTCTAGAGAAAAATAATGAGGGGTGTCACGGGGTATGACTATATAGGTCTTGTAGAGGAGAAACAGGCACATCTTTTGCGCAAGGTATCGAAGGGCGCTATGTTCAAAAATCTGAAACTAGAGCTCAAAATTAAAAAAAAAAAAATGTTAAAAACAGGGGGGTTGGCCTATTCCATGGCTTCTAGAGAAAAATAATGAGGGGTGTCACGGGGTATGACTATATAGGTCTTGTAGAGGAGAAACAGCCGCATCTTTTGCGCAAGGTATCGAAGGGCGCTATGTTCAAAAATCTGAAACTAGAGCTCAAAATTAAAAAAAAAAAATGTCAAAAACAGAGGGGTTGGCGTTTCCATGGCTTCTAGAGAAAAATAATGAGGGGTGTCACGGGATATGACTATATAGGTCTTGTAGAGGAGAAACAGGCGCATCTTTTGCGCAAGGTATCGAAGGGCGCTATGTTAAAAAATCAGAAACTAGAGCTCAAAATTAAAAAAAAAATGTTAAAAATAGGGGGGTTGGCTTATTCCATGGCTTCTAGAGAAAAATAATGAGGGGTGTCACGGGATATGACTATATAGGTCTTGTAGAGGAGAAACAGGCGCATCTTTTGCGCAAGGTATCGAAGGGCGCTATGTTCAAAAATGTGAAACTAGAGCTCAAAATTTAAAAAAAAAAATGTTAAAAACAGGGGGGTTGGCCTATTCCATGGCTTCTAGAGAAAAATAATATGGGGTGTCACGGGGTATGACTATATAGGTCTTGTAGAGGAGAAACAGGCGCATCTTTTGCGCAAGGTATCGAAGGGCACTATGTTAAAAAATCTGAAACTAGAGCTCAAAATTTAAAAAAAAAAAAGTTAAAAACAGGGGGGTTGGCCTATTCCATGGCTTCTAGAGAAAAATAATGAGGGGTGTCACGGGGTATGACTATATAGGTCTTGTAGAGGAGAAACAGGCGCATCTTTTGCGCAAGGTATTGAAGGGCGCTATGTTCAAAAATCTGAAACTAGAGCTCAAAATTTAAAAAAAAAAAATGTTAAAAACAGAGGGGTTGGCCTATTCCATGGCTTCTAGAGAAAAATAATGAGGGGTGTCACGGGGTATGACTATATAGGTCTTGTAGAGGAGAAACAGGCGCATCTTTTGTGCAAGGTATCGAAGGGTGTATGTTCAAAAATCTTAAACTAGAGCTCAAAATAAAAAAAAAAAATGTTAAAAACAGGGGGGTTGGCCTATTCCATGGCTTCTAGAGAAAAATAATGAGGGGAGAAACAGGCGCATCTTTTGCGCAAGGTATCGAAGGGCGCTATGTTCAAAAATCTGAAACTAGAGCTCAAAATGTTAAAAAAAATGTTAAAAACAGGGGGGTTGGCCTATTCCATGGCTTCTAGAGAAAAATAATGAGGGGTGTCACGGGGTATGACTATATAGGTCTTGTAGAGGAGAAACAGGCGCATCTTTTGCGCAAGGTATTGAAGGGCGCTATGTTCAAAAATCTGAAACTAGAGCTCAAAATTAAAAAAAAAAAATGTTAAAAACAGGGGGTTGGCCTATTCCATGGCTTCTAGAGAAAAATAATGAGGGGTGTCACGGGGTATGACTATATAGGTCTTGTAGAGGAGAAACAGGCGCATATTTTGCGCAAGGTATCGAAGGGCGCTATGTTAAAAAATCTGAAACTAGAGCTCAAAATTAAAAAAAAAAAAAGTTAAAAACAGGGGGGTTGTCCTATTCCATGGTTTCTAGAGAAAATAATGAGGGGTGTCACGGGATATGACTATATAGGTCTTTTAGAGGAGAAACAGGCGCATCTTTTGCGCAAGGTATCGAAGGGCGCTATGTTCAAAAATTTGAAACTAGAGCTCAAAGTTAAAAAAAAAAATGTTAAAAACAGGGGGGTTGGCCTATTCCATGGCTTCTAGAGAAAAATAATGAGGGGTGTCACGGGGTATGACTCAATAGGTCTTGTAGAGGAGAAACAGGCGCATCTTTTGCGCAAGGTATTGAAGGGCGCTATGTTCACAAATCTGAAACTAGAGCTCAAAATTAAAAAAAAAAATGTTAAAAACAGGGGGTTGGCCTATTCCATGGCTTCTAGAGAAAAATAATGAAGGGGGTCACGGGGTATGACTATATAGGTCTTGTAGAGGACACACAGGCGCATCTTTTGCGCAAGTAATCGAAGGGCGCTATGTTCAAAAATCTGAAACTAGAGCTCAAAATTAAAAAAAAAAATGTTAAAAACAGAGGGGTTGGCGTTTCCATGGCTTCTAGAGAAAAATAATGAGGGGTGTCACGGGGTATGACTATATAGGTCTTGTAGAGAAGAAACAGGCGCATCTTTTGTGCAAGGTATCGAAGGGCGCTATGTTCAAAAATCTGAAACTAGAGCTCAAAATTAAAAAAAAAAATGTTAAAAACAGGGGGGTTGGCCTATTCCATGGCTTCTAGAGAAAAATAATGAGGGGTGTCACGGGGTATGATTATATAGGTCTTGAAAAGGAGAAACAGGCGCATCTTTTGCGGAAGGCATCGAAGGGCGCTATGTTCAAAAATCTGAAACTACAGCTCAAAATTAAAAAAAAAAATGTTAAAAACAGGGGGGTTGGCCTATTCCATGGCTTCTAGAGAAAAATAATTAGGGGTGTCACGGGGTATGACTATATAGGTCTTGTAGAGGAGAAACAGGCGCATCTTTTGCGCAAGGTATCGAAGGGCGCTATGTTCAAAAATCTGAAACTAGAGCTCAAAATTTAAAAAAAAAATGTTAAAAACAGGGGGTTGGCTTATTCCATGGCTTCTAGAGAAAAATAATGAGGGGTGTCACGGGGTATGACTATAAAGGTCTTGTAGATGAGAAATAGGCGCATCTTTTGCGCAAGGTATCGAAGGGCACTATGTTCAAAAATCTGAAACTAGAGCTCAAAATTAAAAAAAAAAAATGTTATAAACAGAGGGGTTGGCGTTTCCATGGCTTCTAGAGAAAAATAATGAGGGGTGTCACGGAATATGACTATATAGGTCTTGTAGAGGAGAAACAGGCGCATCTTTTGTGCAAGGTATCGAAGGGCGCTATGTTCAAAAATCTGAAACTAGAGCTCAAAATTAAAAAAAAAAATGTTAAAAACAGGGGGGTTGGCCTATTCCATGGCTTCTAGAGAAAAATAATGAGAGGTGTCACGGGGTATGATTATATAGGTCTTGAAAAGGAGAAACAGGCGCATCTTTTGCGCAAGGCATCGAAGGGCGCTATGTTCAAAAATCTGAAACTAGAGCTCAAAATTAAAAAAAAATATGTTAAAAACAGGGGGGTTGGCCTATTCCATGGCTTCTAGAGAAAAATAATGAGGGGTGTCACGGGGTATGACTATATAGGTATTGTAGAGGAGAAACAGGCGCATCTTTTGCGCAAGGTATCGAAGGGCGCTATGTTCAAAAATCCGAAAGTAGAGCTCAAAATTTAAAAAAAAAATGTTAAAAACAGGGGGTTGGCCTATTCCATGGCTTCTAGAGAAAAATAATGAGGGGTGTCACGGGGTATGACTATAAAGGTCTTGTAGATGAGAAATAGGCGCATCTTTTGCGCAAGGTATCGAAGGGCGCTATGTTCAAAAATCTGAAACTAGAGCTCAAAATTAAAAAAGAAAATGTTAAAAACAGAGGGGTTGGCGTTTCCATGGCTTCTAGAGAAAAATAATGAGGGGTGTCACGGGGTATGACTATATAGGTCTTGTAGAGGAGAAACAGGCGCATCTTTTGTGCAAGGTATTGAAGGGCGCTATGTTGAAAAATCTGAAACTAGAGCTCAAAATAAAAAAAAAAAATGTTAAAAACAGGGGGGTTGGCCTATTCCATGGCTTCTAGAGAAAAATAATGAGGGGTGTCACGGGGTATGATTATATAGGTCTTAAAAAGGAGAAACTGGCGCATCTTTTGCGCAAGGCATCGAAGGGCGCTATGTTAAAAAATCTGAAACTAGAGCTCAAAATTAAAAACAAAAATGTTAAAAACAGGGGGGTTGGCCTATTCCATGGCTTCTAGAGAAAAATAATGAGGGGTGTCACGGGGTATGACTATATAGGTATTGTAGAGGAGAGAAACAGGCGCATCTTTTGCGCAAGGTATCGAAGGGCGCTATGTTCAAAAATCTGAAACTAGAGCTCAAAATTTAAAAAAAAAAATGTTAAAAACAGGGGGTTGGCTTATTCCATGGCTTCTAGAGAAAAATAATGAGGGGTGTCACGGGGTATGACTATAAAGGTCTTGTAGATGAGAAATAGGCGCATCTTTTGCGCAAGGTATCGAAGGGCGCTATGTTCAAAAATCTGAAACTAGAGCTCAAAATTAAAAAAAAAAATGTTAAAAACAGAGGGGTTGGCGTTTCCATGGCTTCTAGAGAAAAATAATGAGGGGTGTCACGGGATATGACTATATAGGTCTTGTAGAGGAGAAACAGGCGCATCTTTTGCGCAAGGTATCGAAGGGCGCTATGTTAAAAAATCAGAAACTAGAGCTCAAAATTAAAAAAAAAATGTTAAAAATAGGGGGGTTGGCCTATTCCATGGCTTCTAGAGAAAAATAATGAGGGGTGTCACGGAATATGACTATATAGGTCTTGTAGAGGAGAAACAGGCGCATCTTTTGCGCAAGGTATCGAAGGGCGCTATGTTCAAAAATGTGAAACTACAGCTGAAAATTAAAAAAAAAAATGTTAAAAACAGGGGGGTTGGCCTATTCCATGGCTTCTAAAGAAAAATAATGAGGGGTGTCACGGGGTATGACTATATAGGTCTTGTAGAGGAGAAACAGGCGCATATTTTGCGCAAGGTATCGAAGGGCGCTATGTTCACAAATCTGAAACTAGAGCTCAAAATTTAAAAAAAAAAATGTTAAAAACAGGGGGGTTGGCCTATTCCATGGCTTCTAGAGAAAAATAATGAGGGGTGTCACAGGGTATGACTATATAGGTCTTGTAGAGGAGAAACAGGCGCATCTTTTGCGCAAGGTATGGAAGGGCACTATGTTAAAAAATCTGAAACTAGAGCTCAAAATTTAAAAAATAAAAAGTTAAAAACAGGGGGGTTGGCCTATTCCATGGCTTCTAGAGAAAAATAATGAGGGGTGTCACGGGGTATGACTATATAGGTCTTGTAGAGGAGAAACAGGCGCATCTTTTGCGCAAGGTATTGTAGGGCGCTATGTTCAAAAATCTGAAACTAGAGCTCAAAATTTAAAAAAAAAAATGTTAAAAACAGAGGGGTTGGCCTATTCCATGGCTTCTAGAGAAAAATAATGAGGGGTGTCACGGGGTATGACTATATAGGTCTTGTAGAGGAGAAACAGGCGCATCTTTTGTGCAAGGTATCGAAGGGCGCTATGTTCAAAAATTTTAAACTAGAGCTCAAAATTAAAAAAAAAAATGTTAAAAAGAGGGGGGTTGGCCTATTCCATGGTTTCTAGAAAAAAATAATGAGGGGGGAAACAGGCACCTCTTTTGCGCAAGGTATCGAAGGGCGCTATGTTCAAAAATCTGAAACTAGAGCTCAAAATTTAAAAAAAAAAAATGTTAAAAACAGGGGGGTTGGCCTATTCCATGGCTTCTAGAGAAAAATAATGAGGGGTGTCACGGGGTATGACTATATAGGTCTTGTAGAGGAGAAACAGGCGCATCTTTTGCGCAAAGTATCGAAGGGCGCTATGTTCAAAAATCTGAATCTAGAGCTCAAAATTAAAAAAAAAAAATGTTAAAAACAGAGGGGTTGGCCTATTCCATGGCTTCTAGAGAAAAATAATGAGGGGTGTCACGGGGTACTACTATATAGGTCTTGTAGAGGAGAAACAGGCGCATCTTTTGCGCAAGGTATCATAGGGCGCTATGTTCAAAAATCTGAAACTAGAGCTCAAAATTAAAAAAAAAAAAATGTTAAAAACAGGGGGTTTGGCCTATTCCATGGCTTCTAGAGAAAAATAATGAGGGTGTCACGGTATATGACTATATAGGTCTTGTAGAAGAGAAACAGGCGCATCTTTTGCGCAAGGTATCGAAAGGCGCTATGTTAAAAAATATGAAACTAGAGCTCAAAATTAAAAAAAAAAATGTTAAAAAACAGGGGGGTTGGCCTATTCTATGGCTTCTAAAGAAAAATAATGAAGGGTGTCACGGGGTATGACTATATAGGTCTTGTAGAGGAGAAACAGGCGCATCTTTTGCGCAAAGTATCGAAGGGCGCTATGTTCAAAAATCTGAATCTAGAGCTCAAAATAAAAAAAAAAATGTTAAAAACAGGGGGATTGGCCTATTCCATGGCTTCTAGAGAAAAACAATGAGGAGTGTCACGGGGTATGACTATATAGGTCTTGTAGAGGAGAAACAGGCGCATCTTTTGCGCAAAGTATCGAAGGGCGCTATGTTCAAAAATCTGAATCTAGAGCTCAAAATTAAAAAAAAAAAATGTTAAAAACAGGGGGGTTGGCCTATTCCATGGCTTCTAGAGAAAAATAATGAGGGGTGTCACGGGGTATGACTTTATAGGTCTTGTAGAGGAGAAACAGGCGCATCTTTTGCGCAAGGTATCATAGGGCGCTATGTTCAAAAATCTCAAACTAGAGCTCAAAATTAAAAAAAAAAAATGTTAAAAACAGGGGGGTTGGCCTATTCCATGGCTTCTAGAGAAAAATAATGAAGGTGTCATGGGATATGACTATATAGGTCTTGTAGAGGAGAAACAGGCGCATCTTTTGTGCAAGGTATCGAAGGGCGCTATGTTAAAAAATATGAAACTAGAGCTCAAAATTTAAAAAAAAAATGTTAAAAACAGGGGGGTTGGCCTATTCTATGGCTTCTAAAGAAAAATAATGAGGGGTGTCACGGGGTATGACTATACAGGTCTTGTAGAGGAGAAACAGGCGCATCTTTTGCGCAAAGTATCGAAGGTCGCTATGTTAAAAAATCTGAGTCTAGAGCTCAAAATTAAAAAAAAAATGTTAAAAACAGGGGGATTGGCCTATTCCATGGCTTCTAGAGAAAAACAATGAGGAGTGTCGCGGGTTATGACTATATAGGTCTTGTAGAGGAGAAACAGGCGCATCTTCTGCGCAAGGTATCGAAGGGCGCTATGTTCAAAACTCTGAAACTAGAGCTCAAAATTTAAAAAAAAAATGTTAAAAACAGGGGGGTTGGCCTATTCCATGGCTTCTAGAGAAAAATAATGAGGGGTGTCACGGGGTATGACTATATAGGTCTTGTAGAGGAGAAACAGGCGCATCTTTTGTGCAAGGTATCGAAGGCGCTATGTTCAAAAATCTGAAACTAGAGCTCAAAATTAAAAAAAAAAATGTTAAAAACAGGGGGGTTGGCCTATTCCATGGTTTCTAGAGAAAAATAATGAGGGGTGTCACGGGGTATGATTAAATAGGTCTTGAGGAGGAGAAACAGGCGCATCTTTTGCGTAAGGTATCGAAGGGCACTATGTTCAAAAATCTGAAACTAGAGCTCAAAAATTAAAAAAAAAATGTTAAAAACAGGGGGTTGGCCTATTCCATGGCTTCTAAAGAAAAATAATGAGGGGTGTCACGGGGTATGACTATATAGGTTTTGTAGAGGAGAAACAGGCGCATCTTTTGCGCAAAGTATCGAAGGGCGCTATGTTCAAAAATCTGAATCTAGAGCTCAAAATTAAAAAAAAAATGTTAAAAACAGGGGAATTGGCCTATTCCATGGCTTCTAGAGAAAAACAATGAGGAGTGTCACGGGGTATGACTATATAGGTCTTGTAGAGGAGAAACAGGCGCATCTTTTGTGCAAGGTATCGAAGGGCGCTATGTTCAAAAATCTGAAACTAGAGCTCAAAATTTAAAAAAAAAATGTTAAAAACAGGGGGGTTGGCCTATTCCATGGCTTCTAGAGAAAAATAATGAGGGATGTCACGGGGTATGACTATATAGGTCTTGTATAAGAGAAATAGGCGCATCTTTTGCGCAAGGTATCGAAGGGCGCTATGTTCAAAAATCTGAAACTAGAGCTCAAAATTTAAAAAAAAAATGTTAAAAACAGGGGGGTTGGCCTATTCCATGGCTTCTAAATAAAAATAATGAGGGGTGTCACGGGGTATGACTATATAGGTCTTGTAGAGGACAAAAAAAAGCATGATATTGAGATCTACTCCACTGAGAATGAGGAGAAGTCGAGTGTTGTCGAGCGCTGGAATCGCACCATGAAAGAGAAGATGTTCAAATATTTCTCAGCCAACTCTACACGCACCTACATCAATCTGTTGGATGATCTTGTTCACCAGTACAATACCGCCAAACATAGATCCATTAAAATGACTCCTGTGATTGCAAGCCTCAAGAAAAATGAAAACAAGGTGTATTGGAATTTGTATGGAGACCTCCCTCCCATGCAGCAGGCACGGTTTCGTATAGGTGATAAGGTTCGAATTACCAAGAAGAAAGGAACATTTGAGAAGGGTTACACAACGCGCTGGACCAAGGAAGTTTTCGAGGTGTCTCAAGTTCTTTTCACCCAGTCACCCACTTATCATCTCAAGGATGTAAATGGGGAGGAAATTCAGGGATCCTTCTATGAGCCCGAACTTCAGAAGACTGATCAGGACGTCTACCGCATAGAAAAGATCCTACGCAGGCGAACCAAGAACAGGATTAATGAGGTTTTTGTGAAGTGGAAGGGTTATCCTGCAGAGTTTAACTCTTGGATCAAAAAGTCAGATGTACAAAAATGTCAAGCTTTCAAGCTTTCCCATCCTTTCAATCAGGACGGGAAAGGTTGTTGAGGTTACACCAAGAGTTCCTTAATCCTATCAATGTGTTTATCCTCTTCAGATGCTCTTCAAGCTCGCGCCGTGACCTTCCTCTCTGAATCTTCTTTTCGAGATCGTTTATCTTACCGGTGAGGCTTATGGCAAGTTCCTGCCAGTTCTTTGCGTACCAGCCTTTAGTCACAGGTTCATTGACCGATTTTGGAGTTGGGAGATTGGTGATTGGGTGTCCCAGCATATCTATTTCACCATTTACCCTTCCCCCGGTCGAAGGCAAGCACTTCGCCACATTTTTCTCGATGCCGTTTAAACGTTTCTTTTCCACCTCAAGCTCTTTCGAGATTGCTTCGAGCGCAGCCTCTAGACCATTGATGTCTTTTATATCATCTTTCAACTGTTGGGTCACCCACCGTTTTGTCACGGCATCCGAGCTGTCCTTGGGATATCCTAGGCTAGTAATGTGATTGTCGTTCATATCCAAATCCTGCAGCATTCGCCAAAGGGATGCGCGCTTTCTTGCATGAGATCCAAACTTATCGATTTATTTATAGAGTGAGAAGATTGTATCTTCCAGCGATTTTCCAGTCGCCAACACTTTCAACACGAATAGACAAAAGTGACCACACATCACCGAGCCTCGCTGCTGTAATTCATCGGTGCTATATCGAATTTCAGGCTGTAAATAGTTCACCATCTCTGCAGAATCCATAAGAGTCAAAGTAATACTTTACCGGTCCACGTTCATACCAGCAAGTCCAATGCGTTCCAGGACCCTCCCAGCTATCATGATACAAGATTCCACATTCGATGCGGCGCGGACTGGGTGGTAAGGTATCTCGCATAAACACCCTTCTAAAACTTGGGATTCCTAGGGCTGTGACGGCGTTCTCCAATTCCTTATTCGACAGAGGCTTGCGGGGAAAAACTACATTGTGCACCTCGAAGTATTTCATTCTTTTCCGAGTTTTACCCATACTTTATTTATTGCAGGCGGTGTTGCTCCTCAATTTTATAATGTCCGTGAACAAGGGTGCTAATTCCGTCGGGGAGAATGTGTCGCTTGGTATCTTTAGCCGAAAGTGCAACCTTGTTGATCTCCTGAGTGTAGATCTGATGGCGGTAACTTTGGAAAATATTCATCGGTCGGTATATTTCCTGCTGGGTGTCTAAACATCTCTTATAGTTGTCAAAGGTAATATGCTGCTTGATGACAGCCTTTGTAACTCCCTTTGATTTCTTGGTATTGTCTTCATCATCCATTTTGTACGCATATAATTTTGGTCGAAGTCCCACGAAGCCAGTCATACTTTTACCACCACATTCGTCCTTAAACATTCCAATTATCTTCTTGTTGACGCCGGATGGAATTCCTGAAGGGTGGTCAGCTGGATAGTTCGAGGTATCGAATTTCACCTGAACATGGGGGGTAACATCTTTGTAAAAATCCTCGGTCTGAATTTCATAGGCCAAGCTATCTGTATCGGTAAACAGTAGCCGGGCGTTATCACCATACATCTCTTTCATGGTGGCTTTCACCACGATTTTCCCTCCAACTGGGGTATCCTCTTCCTCCTCCTGCTGGCGTGGTTCTTTGCTGTGTCTCCAGCAGAGCCAATCTTTTCCCTGTTTACTCTTGCAGAATTGTCCCTTCTTCCTCTTCAGTGAAGCGCCGCAAGTTTTTGGTTCTTCATTCTCAAGAAAGAAATATTTGAACTGATCCATATTCATATCAACACTATTGGATGGCATCCCTTTATTTGTATCAATTAAAGGGGTGCTTCCTTCTAAGGTGTTTGGGGCTGGGGTATCTCTGACGTTTTGTGTGAAAGTCATACTTGTATCTACCCTAGAATTACGTCCCTTTAAGGTGTCTCTACCATTGTTTACAAAAAGCCATATTCTTGTTTCTACCCTTAGACTACTAGTTGAAACACAATGAATTTGCATTTTATGTTTGAGGTTGGGGTCCCTATGCAGGATTTGTGCTTACAAATGGCAAGTGCGGCAGAATCCCCCTTTTTACACTACTGTGGGTGTCACGGGATATGACTATATAGGTCTTGTAGAGGAGAAACAGGCGCATCTGTTGCGCAAGGTATCGAGTGGCGCTATGCTGCATTTTTGTACAACCTACATTTACCCTGTGCAAAAAATATAGGTTGTACAAAAATGCAGTAATTGTGTACGATGTCCAAGGATAGCACGTTAAGCTGCATCGATAGGTAATGTATCTGCAAATTAGGAGATGGAGGAGGCAGTGCAGATAGTGGTAAGACTACAAGGAGGTCTACATTCGACTTGGTTGACTAAGAAGCAGTTTTTTCTCTTGCCCTTTTAAGACTGGTTTAAAGACTCGTTTAGATCACGACTAAATAAAGGCAACAGCAGTATACCACTGTTCGAAATTCATAAATCGATTGAGAAAAAAACAAAACCGGGTTACAAACTAAAACTGAGGGAAACACATCAAATATAAGAGGAGAACTACGACACAACATTAAAATGTAACACACACAGAAACGAACTATAATATAACAATGGCCATTTTCCTGATTTGGTACAGGACATTTTAAGAAATGGCAATGTTAAATATAACATTAAAATGACAACATTACATGACAAGACTACAATACAAATAAATGGGAGAACATATAGGACAGAGAAACATACGAATAAGTTTGTCAAGTAGTTATTGTAAGTTACTAGATTCGATGGTACGCTTTTCATCCTGGAATCCTGGAACTTCATGTTAAGTGTTTCATGCTGCTTTGAATAGGCAATAATTAGTATAACAAACGTCATTTTATATAAAGCGTTTGCAAAAACTCCCGTAAGCCTTTGAAAGCGTTTAAAAAAACATCATCTAGTGTTTAATACCGTAAAAAAAATTGCCTTTAATGGTGACAAAGCCGTAAGGCTCACACCAGCATGAAGTTTTGACCAGGGCCGAACGGTGAATGTGTCTGGAAACTCTGGTTGTATTGTTGAAAGAGATCTTGACAAAGTTGGATCGTCTTGCGCGAGAGTTTCAAGCAGTTTTCACAGAGATAGAATCAATCAGCGTTGTTGAGTCCTACTCGGACGTAGAAGTCTTCGCACTATTTTGCTTACTCAGCACCAATTCATCAAAAACCACCAAGATCTTACTGTTTGTGTCAATTCCCGATGGTCTGTTTGAAGACGAACAATGACATTGATGAGTGATGTGGGACCTATATCGGAAATCATGTCGCTTATGTCATTTGTAAGAACCTCTTCCCCAGTGCGTTTTGCAGGAGAAGATAGATAGGTTGAGGAAGAGATTTTCCAAACTATCGTAACATAAATACCTGACCGATTTTTTAGCAGCGTCGGCTTATAACGAATTACGACAGTCTGAAGTGTAAGTAGAATACAAAGACAAACAACCGCTTCGAATTAACGACTAGCAAGGGGCGACGACGGAGGGGTGGATCGAAGATATGCCACTTTATGAGTACAACCAGTGGATGTTTCATGAACAAGCTAAAAAAAACCCGCCCCGATCGTTTGTTGCACAACTTTACCAGACCTGGTACTAAGCTGAATAACGATTACATACAGTAAGAACTCCAAACACCTTGGTCCATGAGTCGCTGAAGTTGTGTATCGTCAAGATCTCTGCTTTTTGTACACTTCTTTGGTCCAACGGAAGGTGTGTATTCCTTATCAAATGTACCTAAATTCTTTGTGATTCGAACTTTGTCATCCACGTGGAACCAAGCCGTGTAAATGAGCTGTCGATGCTCAACATAAGAATACAACAACTCGCAACTATGTGAGTGACAGGAACCTGCATTGTTAACTTTGCACTCTATAAAATCCAGCAATGAGAAAGAAGATGGAACCCGACACCGTTTGACACCTCATCTTCACCAAAGTTCAATTGGTCTGGGCGTCTCAATAGAAAAGTTCGTTGGACGGATAAAACATTTCGACGTAAATTCGAGGAACGATGCATGATCGCTGTTCGTTTAGGTGAAACTTGGATTACAGTTCTATCTCAACAGAACAAAGAATTCACGTTTATTCTTAGCATCATCAATGTTTTCCTTGCCAAATACGACTGTTTAGTGCCGCCAAAGACCAAGAAAGTGTGACGGTCAAGGTTGCTTTTTTATACCGTATTTAAGTCAAGCATTTTCATAAAACTATGGACGGAAAAGGTTACTGAATTCCACAACAAAGAGGTCAAAGTGCTATGCCGAAAACACGACGTTGATCCCGCCAGAATGGAGGAAAGCCGGG